CTTTTGTACAAAGTATTAGATAAATTTCAGTAAGTGTGTTCAATACTTTTTCCCTGTGCCATTCCACATTATTACAAATAACTTCATTTCTGGACATTTCTGGTTTAATTTCTTTGTATGTATGGATCACTTGGGTTGTTACCGACATCTGGTGAAAATTTCATGTCATTAGCACCTCTAATAATAAATTTACTGAGAAAAATGTTGATGTGTTCAATACTTATTTTACCCACTGTAAATAACAATCGCTAATATTGACAATGACAAAATATCTTTAGATAAAATAGCTCACCTTTAAACACTGTTACATTTCGGACAGATTTAGTAACTTCCCGGCACCGTGTCATCTCAGAGCAACACAAACTGCATGTTTTTGAACCAGGCAGAGAAACACTTCCCATCAAACCAGAACAACACACTCCACAGATGCAGGGATGAGATTTCTCTGGTCACCAAAATAGTGCAAACCCAAAAATAGCAACTTGGCCAAAGTGGGATCTGAGTGATTTTCTCAGAATCAGCCTCTTGCAGAGACCTGGTGCTGAGAAAATCAGTAGTTTCTCCAAATTACATCACCTTTAAGTTAGTCTGATTGCAGTTAAATAAGTTCATTCTCAGCTCAAAACCAAAACACAATCTAGAATGCTGACTTTTTTCCACAATACCCTGTTGTTTTGTTTTTAGTATTTTTTTTCTCTTACTCTTAATTCCTCAGAACCTGCTAGTTTCCCTCCTAATACCAGGTTTATGTTATGCCAAGCTGTAGTTTTTGTTTTACCTCTGTGCAATAAAAGGAACCTAACAAACTGTTCTTGAAAGGTTGAAACACTTACACTTTTTACAGTTTTTTAATCATAACGCGTATTTGCACACTCCTCTGCTCTTCACCTCTCAGGTGTGGATGATGTATTTGTGTTCATCAGCACCTTCAGACAAGCCTCTCATCTGCAGCAGCCTCGGGAGCGAATGATCTACACGATAAAAACTGCCGGCAGGGCGACATTCCTCACCTCCTTCACCACCGCAGCTGCCTATGCTGCTAACACCTTCTCTCAGGTAATCGTGGAGGAGAAATGCAGCATTTAATAGAATCTGTATGAAGATATATACAGTATATATATACGACTCCTCCGCTGCGGATGAATAGAAGTGTCGCTCTCAGCAGACAGCCAGATAAGCACAAATTGAATGCTTCAAGGTCTTTTACACTGTGCTACATTTAACTGACACTCAGATCCCAGCCGTGCATGACTTTGGCCTCTTCATGGCCCTCATTGTCAGCTGCTCCTGGCTTTGGGTGTCTGTCCTGATGCCAGCAGCTCTGTGTATCTGGACACAGCATGTGGAGCCTCACGAACACGCCTGGCTGAACTGGTGAGCAGCTCTTTTCCTTGCTTCTGTGTGCGATTGTTTGTGATCCCTTCAGCTGTCTCTCACTTTAAACTGTCTCCTCTCTGAAGCGTGAAGTTGTTTTTGGGCCTGTCAGCGAGCTACAGTCCTTTGTCAGATGAGGATGATGATGTGGCACTTTTGTCAGTGGAGATGGAGCCAGGTGAGATTATTATCTCCACTCGCTCTGGATGGAAAGGGAATGAGTCCCAGGCTGTGAAACGTGGCTGCTCAGGCACCACTAAAATCCACTCCCTTTGTCTGCACCAGGCTCTTGTGACGCAGACGGGGACGCGGCTATTCTGTCCCTGTCAGTGGAGACAACTTTGTCCTCTTCAGGGCTGCAGCACATGGGTGTGGTCAGCACCAAACTCCAGTGGGCTCTGAAGCACTTAGTGGCTGAGCCAGCAGTGAAGCAACGAAAAGCTGTTCTAGGTGAGGCTCAGTTAAGTTATGACATTTTTATTTATATGTACATAAAAAACAAGTAAAACACTATAAATCAAAGGCCTATCACTTTGTAAAGGAATGCCTATCACCTGTCTCCAGCCAGAGTTTTAAATTAAGATCATTGTATTAAGGTTTATTTAACGTTTTGGTTAAATCCTGAGAATAACATCATACACAAGCTAATCTTTAGAGCGGAGTAATCCAACTAATTAGACCATTTCTTAGTTACGAGTACTAACAGCTTCCCTGCAGTCAACTGAGAAAACACTGAGGTTGCTGTGAAAATGCCATTGAAATCGTGCAAATTCAGCAAGCTGTAAAAGCAGATTCATAGCTAACATATTTATGAAAAAATCTCATCTGTGATCCGAAAGGAAGTGTAACACGAATCAGTTTAGAAGAGGACTATTCAACTGGTGGCCCACGGGCCGGGTGTGGCTCGCGAGTGACCAAAGTTTGGCCCGCCAATCGGTTCATTCATCTCTTAAGCCCAAACCATCAGTTTTCTAATTTAATCACTCTAAGTTATTTTAGTTAAACATAGACATCTTTAGTGTCTACAGAAACAGAATCTTGGCTACAAGCTGGTAAAATCCATTTCATTGAATATCTAAGACAGTTAAAACGACAAGCAGTTGAAAACAAAACTATGAAAATGAAATTGGTTGAAAATTGGCAAGTCAGAGATGTCAAAATAATATTTGTGGTAAATAAGAGGCAGAATGTGTTTTTTTTTTGTTTTTGATATTGTTTAATTCACTATTTTTTAATCACTATTTTTATAGGGTTCTGTGTGTTGTATACATGATTAAATTCAGCAAAATAAACAATTTCAAAGGTAACAGATCTTTGTAGTACTTGGTTTATTTTCATAATGACTTTTTGTTATTTGAAGATAATTTTGCTTAAATGCATTTTTTTGAGAAAAGGGGTAGATATAAGATTTTTTCTTCTCCTACTACCTTTCATTTATGATTTTTTTTTATTGTATGTAGAATTGATGGGTTTTTTTTCTAAAAATGAGTGAATAAACTAAACCACAATAAACTACAATAAACTAAACTAATTGCTGGATGTTCGGCCCCTCAGCTGTTGGCCTGCACTAACTGTGGCCCCCGGAGCGATTTATTTGAATAGTCCTGGTTTAGAACAAATACATAGAGTTTGTATAACAGTGTAAATGTAGCAATTGAATTTGTTAAACTTTAATGGCCTTTCCATAGAAACCTCTGCATTTTCCCGAAAAACGAGTGGGGCCACAGTTCCTGGATGCCAACAGCTCAGGCACCAGACATCCAACAATTAAATAAATGCAGTCCTTTAATTTTTTCATGTTTAATTAGATTTTGAACATAAAACAGAATCTATTTTATTATTATTAAAAATCAATTTTTATATTTAACGATGTCATTAGCAGACAGACTGAGTTGAATCACCCTGTCATAGATCATCTATATAATAGGATTGCCACTCTGACTGAAGTATTTCTTTTAAGTCTAAAAAAGAAGAAAATAATTGTAATTTTTTTAATGAACTCATAGGCGGGCCGGAAGTGTCTCGCAAACCACCAGTTGAATAGCCCTAGTTTAGAGAATATGTTGGTTTTATTGTGATTTATTTAAAATAACATTTATAGACATTCAGTGGGACAGCTATATTCGATAAATCTGGAGCCTTAAGGACAGATGAAGCAAAGCATCATCAGCATAATAATGAATGAAAAGCAAAGATTGAAAATTGTATCCGGTGTCTCTGCCTGTCTTGATCGTGATTGTCTTCCTGTTCCAGGTGTGTTCGTCCTGGTTCTGCTTTTATCTGCGGGCTGCTCTTGCCTCCTCCGGCCCGCCACCCATGCCCCCCTTCTCTTCCGACCAGACACAAACCTTCAGACTCTGCTGGCGCTGCGCAGCAACCTCAGCGGGCAGGGCATCTCCTGCCCCATGTGCTCCGGTAAAAACTAATAAATAAACTGCAGCAGAGACATTTAACAGTGGAGATCTGAAACAAATACAGGTCCTTCTTAAAAAATTAGCATATTGTGATAAAGTTCATTAATTTCTGTAATGTACTGATAAACATTAAACTTTCATATATTTTAGATTCATTGCACACCAACTGAAGTAGTTCAAGCCTTTTATTGTTTTAATATTGATGATTTTGGCAAAAAMGTATAGAAAAACCAAAAATCCCTATCTAAAAAAATTATCATGAAAAGTTTCTCTAAATGACTTATTACCTAATCATCTGAATCAACAAATTAACTCTAAACACCTGCAAAAGATTCCTGAGGCTTTTAAAAACTCCCAGCTTGGTTCATTACTCAAAACCACAATCATGGGTCAGACTGCTGACCTGACTGCTGTCCAGAAGGCCATCACTGACACCCTCAAGCAAGAGGGTAAGACACAGAAAGACATTTCTGAACCAATAGACTGTTCCCAGAGTGCTGTATCAAGGCACCTCAGTGGGAAGTCTGTGGGAAGGAAAAAGTGTGGCAGAAAATGCTGCACTATGAGTAGAGGTGACAGGACCCTGAGGAACATTGTGGAGAAGGGCCGATTCCAGACCTTGGGGGACCTGCAGAAGCGGTGGACTGAGTCTGGAGTACAAACTTCCAGAGCCACCGTGCACAGGCGTGTGCAGGAAATGGGCTACAGGTGCCTCATTCCCCAGGTCAAGCCACTTTTGAACCAGAAACAGCAGCAGATGTGCCTGACCTGGGCTACAGAGAAGCAGCACTGGACTGTTGCTCAGTGGTCCAAAGTACTTTTTTTTTGGATGAAAGCAAATTTTGCATGTCATTCAGAAATCAAGGATCCAGGGTCTGCAGGAAGACTGGGGAGAAGGAAATGCTAAAATGCCTGAAGTCCAGTGTCAAGTACCCACAGTTAGTGATGGTCTGGGGTGTCCATGTCAGCTGCTGGTGTTGGTCCACTGTGTTTCATCAAGGCCAGGGTCAATGCAGCTAGCTTTCAGATTTTGGAGCAATTCATGCTTCCATCTGCTGAAAAGCTTTATGGAGATGAAGATTTCACTTTTCAGCACGACCTGGCACCTGCTCACAGTGCCAAAACCACTGGTAAATGGTTTACTGACCATGGTATTACTGTGCTCAACTGGCCTGCCAACTCTCCTGACCTGAACCCCAGAGAGAATCTGTGGGATATTATGAAGAGAAAGTTGAGAGACACAAGACCCAACACTCTGGATGAGCTTAAGACACAAGAACCAACACTCTGGATGAGCTTAAGGCCACTATCGAAGCATCCTGGGCCTCCATAACACCTCAGCAGTGCCACAGGCTGATTGCCTCCATGCCACGCCACATTGAAGCAGTCATTTCTGCAAAAGGATTTCCCACCAAGTATTGAGTGCATAACTGAACATAATTATTTGAAGGTTGACTTTTTTTGTATTAAAAACACTTTTATTGGTCGGGTGAAATATGCTAATTTTTTGAGATAGGGATTTTTGATTTTTCTCTACTTTTTTGTCAAAATCATCAATATTAAAACAATAAAAGGCTTGAACAGTTGAAGGCTGTAGGCTCAGTTGGTGTGCAATGAATCTAAAATATATGAAAGTTTAATGTTTACCAATACATCACAGAAAATAATGAACATTATCACAGTATGCTATTTTTTTGAGAAGGACCTGTATGTTGAAGGCACGTTTTATCCTGTAGGTGTGTTTATGGAAAAACCCCACCAGCTGCTCAGCCACGCTTCCTCGTCAGGTTTTAGGTTTTCGACCCATCAGCACAGCCTCGGTACGACAGCCTCGACCACTTGTCAGAGCCAGCTGAAATTAAAAACTAACCAGACAGGTAAACTTTCAGCTCCTGGGGATCCTCTTTATTTATTCAAAGCACATGCAATGAAATTTATTTTCCATTTCATTTTTTTTTCAGGCCCCTTGCTGACAGTGTTCATATCAAAGCTCCGCCAAGGAGGATCCACAACGATTTACCGTTTCTCCCTCAATACCAGCGTCCCATCCCCGTGGAAAATGTGCAGCCCGGAGCACGAGGAGGTGTCATCATTCCAGGTCAGGGAGCACGAGAAGTCTGCTTGATGAGTTCCTGTTGAATGACATCTTGTATCTAATCATTTCATCTAAATAGGCTTTTAGTCAGCCCTACAACAATTACACCCGCAGAATGACAGTGTGTGTTTCCCGTGTGTACCGACCATACCCCAGCTGGATGATCACATTTGGCTCGTGCGAGCTTCACCATGGCTGGAGTCCAGAGTTCTCTTTTTATGTAGCGGCGTCTCCCCAGCAGAACAGCAGGTAAAAACGACAATAGAAGCAATTCCAAGCTCAAGTGTTGATTCTCGTGTGGTTTTAGTGGCAATTTTTGTCATTATAATTTGGCTATCTCCACTTTAGGAGGCTGTACTTTGCTCAGTGCCGCCTGAGACCTCATCCCAGCAGAGTGTGTGTGAAAACGCCTGGCTGCGGCTTCAGCTCGGGGCCTGATGGACCTTCACAGGGAACCTTTTATATCCCTTTTCACAGCAGTGAGCATGAAAACACCTCTGTCTGTAAGCATCATTAACTCAAAGATGGTTTGTTAGTCCATAAGGAAAACTGGTTCCCCACTTTATGTGTCTCCCCTTTTTCATTGGATTTCACATTTGAGTCTTCTGCAGAGCGTGAACACGACCATGTGACAGTTTTTACAAATGTAGCTTCTGGAGGATTGGTTCTTCCCACAGTCCCTCCAGTTGTGCAGATATTTTTACACTTTGTAAACAGACACAGCTGAGAGGTTTTCCTCTTGTTCTTTTTTTTTTTTTTTTGCAAAGATCCCTCATCTGTTGCCAAAACGAAAGCATCCAAAACGTCCGGCTTCAACCCGTGCAGCGGCAGCGTCTGTGGCCGGCCAGCTGTGCGCCCTCTGGTCGACACAGGGGCCATGGTCTTTCTTGTGTTCGGGATCCTGGGAGTCAACCGAACTGCAAACAAGGAAAACCACGTCATTGGAGACATGGTGAGAGTCACATATGCACCATTTGTGTTCTAATAATCAAGAAACTGAACTCTACGTTTTACTCCTGGTGGGCTCACGACAACTTGTGTTTGGTATTACAAATTAAAACTGCTTCACTATGAAAGGGCATTTACTACAACATAAGGAGTTTTATGAGCAGCCATTTAATAAAACCGAAATAAATAGAATACAAATGAGTGTATTGCATCACAATGTAAAGTGCAGATGAAGACTGGTTGATACTGTTCTCTGTTCTCCTTTTTTCTTAAAGGGCACCATCATACTGGATCCAGACTTCGATATCTTCAAGGAGATGGGGAATCTCTGCAAAATATGCAAAGCGGTTGGTGCAAACCAGAAACTTGTGAAGCCAGGAGGAGCTCAGTGCTTACCTTCAGGTAACACTCAGTCATTTTGTTGAAGAAAATAAGTGTTTGAAGTTTTTATTTATTTTTTTAGCTTAACAGAATGCTTCTGAAAGACAAAACCTTCCATTTTATATGTTATAATTTCAGAAAAAAGAAAACAATAAGTCATTCTAATAAAATAAACTAAGGGTTTAGAGTTGTTTATGTTGGATTTTATTTGTTAAATGAGCCGAATGAACATCAGAACTAGTCTGAATTTTGTTTCAAACAAATAAATCACATTCATATAATACAATAAAATGGGCTCTGACTTGGACACAATAATATCCAAGAAAGTCAAAACCTGAAATAAACAGATTCAATTCCAACACAATTCTAAGACATGCAAAGGAGAAGCTGCTGGAAGGGCAATTATTTTTGTGTTTCTTCTCTTCAGGCAACAAGTTGTCTTCAGTTTTGCCTCTGCTTCATCCTGAGTGCCACTCTCTGCCTGAACCCAACCTGCTCCCGGGGCAGCTGTCCCACGGAGCGGTGGGAATGCACGGGGGGAAAGTCCGCTGGCTTTCCATGGCCTTTGAATCTGTAAAAGATATTTTTCTTTAATCCTCTCCTCCACATTAGAAAAAAAAAAGATCTCAACCAGGCATCCCCCTAACGCTTGACGTCTTCCCTCCGCAGACCACATACAAGGGAAAATCCTCCTTTCAGACCTATTCTGACTTCCTCCAGTGGGAGAACTTCATCCAGGAACAACTCGCCAGCTTCCCGCAGACTTCTGCTCTCCAGCGAGGCTTCCAGACCTGCGAGCACTGGAAGCAGATCTTCATGGAAATCATAGGCAAGTGAAAAGATGCAGGTGCATAAATTAGGCTTTTCGTGTATAAACGAGTGAAACTCTGATGTATGTAGGTGTGGAGAGTGCCCTCTGGAGTCTCCTGCTGTCTCTGGCCATCTGTGTGGCAGCTGTGTCTGTGTTCACCGCACATCCTCTGCTGCTGCTGCCGGTGCTCATAACAATAATAGGTAAAAGATGCGGCGGCGTTTGGCAGCATCAGGAGGAGTCAGATTACAGTGTGTGTGTGTTTTTCTCTTGAAACAGGAGTGATCTGTCTAGTGGTGGCTGTCATGTATTGGCTGGGTTGGGAGATGGGAGCAGTGGAAGCGATTTCTCTGTCAATACTTGTTGGATCTTCAGTGGATTACTGTCTGCACCTGGTGGAGGGCTACCTGCTGGCTGGGAAGACCATTACCTCCTCGCCTGATCAGAACTTTGTACGTGGGAGTGTATATTTGGCTCAGCTTGTCAGGTTTTGCAGCATTTTTCTTACTGTTGGTTAAAAAAAGGGGAATTAGTGCCCCTGTTAAAATGATTTGATTGATTGTAATATTTTGTTAGTTATGTACAAGGCACGCCAAAACACATTACCTTGAAATATTCAAATAAACTTTGCGAAGAGAGAGAGCTGTTACAACAGGGTTCCCGCGGATCCTTAAAAAGTCTTAAAAGACCTTGAATTCATCAATCCAAATTAAGGCCTTAATTAGCCTTAAAGGGTCTTAAATCAGTCTTCAGAAGTCTTAAAAATGTTAACACATTGTTAGTAGGATGACTGTAATGCATATCAAATAGTAAAATAATTGGTAACGTTATGTATTGCAACATATACAGTATTAAATATAGTAATTTATTTTTGAAATATTCCCATTCAGATGTTCCCTTTTGACACCACTTCACATACAAATATCTCAACAACTGTCCATCTGAGCAGTGTGAAATTCACTTTCTAATGTTAATAATGTTGTCTTTCCAAAAATACATTCATATTTCTTACAAAAATTTGATGTCATTTCATCTGCAGCAAGCTGGGGTTGAGAACCTACTGTGGGTCATAAAACTGCAAATTTCAGGTCATTAGAGGATTTCCAGAAATTAAATTAAGTTTAAAACTGACTGCTAAGAATGTTTTATTTTGCTATATTTGACAAAATAACAGTTAGATATGGATAAAATGATTGGTCTATTAGTAATATTTGAATAATTCAACCAAAATACTTTGATTCAAGAGTTTCTGTCACAGTTTAAATTTTTTTGTCATTTGTGTTTTGTTGTGAAATTGGTCTTAAATTTGATTTCACTTGGCATTAAAAAGTCTTAAAATGTCTTAAATTGAACTTGCTTTAAACTGTAGGAACCCTGTATAACCTAAAGGGAAATTATATGTGCACCTCAATCCAAGGAGTCAGATTGTGGAACAATCCGGAAGATTATGTTAAAAGTGCCACATCAATGTACATGCTTAAGAGAATGATAAAGGTTAGATTGTTTTAAAAAAATATGAAACAGTTTAATATGTAGACATTCAATTTGTTGTTCTAGAAAGATTTGATGTTTTGTTAACTGAAGATTCTTAGTTTGAACTTATACTTGAGAAAAAAAGGGGCAGATATAAGATTTTTTTCTTCTCTCTGCCGCCTTTCATTTCATTTGAATTTCCTTTTTTTATTTTATATAGAATTAATTTTGTTTTTATGGAATGAATAAAGTTTTTTGAATTGAATTGAATAAAATGTGTGTGTTTGTTTTTGTTGTTGCTCTCTGTTTGCAGGAGCCTTCTGCAAAGAGGCAGCGGCGAACTCTGGAGGCGGTGAACCACGTGGGCGTCGCCATCGTGTCCAGCGCCATCACCACCGTGATCTCCACGGTCCCCCTCTTCTTCTGCGTCATCGTGCCTTTCGCCAAGTTCGGCCAGATCGTGGCCATCAACACGGCCGTGTCCATCGTGTTCACCCTGACCGTGACCTCTGCCCTGTTGGCCTGCATGGCTCCCCCCGGCTTCGACAGGCACCCCGGCGCCGTGCTGAAGGCCAGCCTGGCCGTGGCGGCGGCCGCGGTGGCGGGAGGGGCTCTGTGCTGGGTGGGGGGACAGCTGGGCGCACTGGCCTGGCGATCAATCAGCACGTGAACCCTTCTTGTCCGTCAACTCACACTGATGTCAGACACTGTTGTATTTTTTTTCTCTTTGTTGAAGGAGGAGTATCAGATCAGGAAGTGGTCTTTATAGCACAAAGATGTCAGAATCATCTCAATAATTTAAAACGGTTCTTTCCAGAGTACATTTTTTCCCCACTTTGAAACCAGTGGATTCAAAGCTTTGGAGTGTAAATCCTCACCTGCTGGATTATTGTTGTTTTTTTTTTTATTTATTGTGCAACAATGTGACACAGCTGTGTTGTTTCGTCTTGATCGAAAGTCACACTTTCATCAACACACTGTTCTGACAGGACGAAGCACTCTGATGTTTGTGATATACTGTGGGTTTCTCACGATTTCATGGTGATCTTGTTGAAACATGTTCGTCAGGTGCTTTGCGTTCTCTCGACTGAGCTCTGAATGTGATTTTTCTGGCCTTCGCAGGTGAAAACGCAACCTGGGTGTATTCAGAGTTGCGTGAACAGAATGTACTGCGTTTTGTTAAATGTACAACGTGACATGAAGGTCTCCGTATGCTGCTCTCACTCACTCTGAACTCAACGTTTGGACGCTGCCGGCACACGTGGACTCACGGACACCGTGAACACCGGCACTTTGCACAAGTTAGACGTCCCTTTTTAGCTGACCGGTTGTTTGGCAGCTACGAGGTCCGGGTTTTTATAATCACTACCAATCGAAGGGATCCTCTTGTCACCTCCTCAGGTGTGCCCTCGGCCACATTTAAAAGCGCTCACTGTAACCCTCTCATGCTCTCAGGCTGTTTAAAGCACCACTCAAACAGCCATCAGAGGCAGCTCCGCTCTGCCCGCACTGGAGACGAGGGCCATCTGTCAAACCACATAACACTATAATGGTTAGGGAGAGGGGGGCCAACTCCATTACGGCAAGGGTGATGCATTTCTGTTGTGTGTGTGTGTTGTAAAAGAAAAATAAAGCAGGTGAAGTAAACCTTTAGACCTCTTTTTTTTTGTGAAAGCTGTGGCATAATTACTGAGGGTTAGTGTCAAACCTCTGGGTGGTGGCTATTAGTTAACGGCTCAGCCTGAACTACAGGGTGCGATTGTTTTATGTTGCTAAAAACACAAAAGGATGTTGCAGTCAGGAAATACCTATTTTTAAAAACCATCCTGAAGCAAATGAAATGTGATGCAGCAGAACAAAAAATAAAGAAAGCTGTGAAGGTCAGTGCCCAGGAGTTCGTAGTTTTCAGGTGATGTGCAAGATTTATTCAAATTATTAGTCTAAAAAGGCAACAAAGAGGGAATCTTCATAAATGTAAAACAGTCCTTAAACCTTGACTCAAACCTTCCCACCCAGCGAGGAGCCTTGTTACAGTCAGCAGAACACGTTGAGGCACCAGTTTCAGCTTTTCATCAGTTTGCTGTGCAGCACAGCTCCACTCTTTGTTTTTATGAAAACATGCGGCAACATGTGCATTCCCACTGAATATCATGAGTGAAAGAGAAGGAAACACTCAGATTAGTAAAAGAAGAGCACCTCTATTGCAGTCTGAAATGACAAACTTCTTTTATGAACCGTGAATCCCACATAAGAGCTATTGAAGAGGATATCTGCTCTTTTGAAGTGGGGCTCTGTGGAAAGGGTTTTAAACAATATGTTGCTTGTTGCAGATGGCTCTTTTATACGGAAGAGGATTAAGGACTACAGAGCAACAAAAACATTTTTTCCTGAGTTCTGACTTTTCTTAGAACTCAGAATTCTGACTTTAATCTTAGAATTCTGAGAAAAGTCAGAACTTGTTCCATACTTTGAACAACCTCAGTTTGAATAAACAGTTTAATTTTGTCCTGGCTGACAAGCTAGCAGCTAATATGAGCCGACTGAAACTAAAGTGCTGCTGTTTTAAAATGCCTCCAGTCTCTAAAATGTTGCACTGCACTGGATCAATTTTTTTCCTTGATGGTAACTTTTAAGCCACTGTCATGTTTGCGTAACAGCGATTTTCCAGTTGAAATGCTATATTCCCCAGCTGCACTGGAGTTGCAACAGTTAGCTGAGCTGCTATTTGTTCTTGTAAATATCCATAAAACGCTATAGATAAACCAAGTGATGTAAAATTTAAGATTTAGAAAATGAAAATTCTCACATTCAACAGCAGCAATCCAGTTTGAAACTAGCTGTTTTGTAAAAAAAAAAAAATCAATCTTACAAACCTGAGACCATTCGAAGAGCTAAATCTTCAACAGGTAACATACTTCCTGCTCATAACCTTTCCACAAAGCCTCACTTTAAAATTGTAAACTATCCCTACAAACTTTATTTTTCCCTGTTTGCTTGTCAGGTTTCTATTTAAGTTCTGCCACCTCCTCTCCTGACTCAGCACACTTCCATTATGTTGTCTCATTAATCTGGCCACAAATGTTTAGTGCAGGTCTAAACTGGTCCTCTGAATAAAGCTCAGGCATGAAACAAGTGTATCAAACTGCAGAAAATACAAAAAAATATGCTGTTGAATGACAAATAAATGGAGAGAAAGAGAGAGTGAGCAACAAAGTATATTCAACATAGACCAGTGGCTATACATTAGAAGGCAACTATAGGGCTAAATTCAACAGTACCTTTTCACCTTTAACATTATGTTATCACTAGAACAATAAATACCCAGGCTCATTTGGTTCTTGAGAATACTTCATTGTCCCAGGAAAAGGCATTGTTTTTTTTTTTCTCATCCTCAGGAGAAAATTTACTTTACATCAGAACTGTAAAACAACACTGAAACATAGGTCATCTTTTTATTTCACCCCATGTTACAGGGCACACACAATGTTCAAGTATGCCTGAGGAACTAGATGGAGCAATGAATTAAAAACAGGAGAATAAGAAGAGATAAAAAGCATTTAAAAATAAGTGAACTGGCATTGCATTTCACAAAGTTTTATAAGCTCAGGATTTTGGAACAATTCACTGTAAAGTGCTAACTGGTTCAAGCTGAGAAAAAAAAGCACATGTTCCCTTTGGAAAACAAAAAAAAAAAATCAACAATACTTTATACATGGAGGTACAGTAATAGCCAGTCATCAGGCAAGTGATTACCAACCAGAAGACGTGGACCCCATTTATTAGTCCTTTAATAAGATAACTGCTTCCTTAATTTCCTTGTTAATGGTAACAGTGAGAATCTTGCCACTGCTTGCCAGGACAATGCCAATTACAAATGCTGGTGTTGTCACTGTAGTTTTCCTCCTTTCCTTGTAATTACATGCAATTGACTGACATACAGTTTCAAAATCTCAAGTCGAGTCCTTTTTAATCCTCTTACAGACAGAAATCCTTGAACCGTAGGGATGAGAGTACGAGGACGAGGAGGGTAATTAGTGAGGAGCGCAGGAGATGTTTCCATCCTCCTCTTCCTCTCCTCCCCCCTTGGATGTGGTGGGCTGGCCTGACAAAAGCAGGGGTCTGTCCAGCTGATGCCTGCCTTCCTACAGGTCCTGAGAATCCACTGTATTTCCTTTATTTTCGCCTCTCATTAGGAGGCACATAAAAAAAAAAAATTAAGAAAAAGAAAATTAAAGGGGACTGGGTCAATACATTTCCCCACACTGTCTGACTAAAGAGGACAATCATGTTCACCCCGCTCCTAACCATAAAAAGGTAAAAACAAGGTGTACTGCAGAATGGCTTTACTCCTCACAGTCTGTGGGGGGGAGCTGGAGCCCCTGGGAGCTGAGGTGCGGTTGGTGGTTTTGCGGCTACTCTGTTGTGTCTAATTCTTCGTGGTGACCGGAGGCTGCCGGGTGTCAGTCGAGCACCTCCCTTGGTGGCACCTCCGACTGACCCTGTGCCCCGCGCGGCCCCTTCTGGCCACCGCTAGTCACTTGCGTGAGTGCAGCGTGTCCTGGAACTTGGTGCTGGTGTAGCGGACATGAAAACCTTTTTTGTTGATGGTGTCGTCAGAGTGGAACTTGATCACAATGGAGTCACCGGCCGAGTAGATCTCCTCTGGGGGCTGCCAGGAAGGACCAAAAAAAAAAGGTCACAGGCTGTTTTCTGCTCATTCATTTAAATCTCATCTAAGTCAGGTTCAGACTTTTTGCAGCATTATTATTGAGGGGTAATGTTTTTGTCCGTTGTTTGTCTGTCTGTTAGCAAAATATTTCATAAACTACTGGATTGATTTCAGCAAAACACTCAGGAACTAATCACTAAATATACTTCTACAATTGTTTAACCTCTGAAGTCAACAAGATTCAAGATGGCTGCCACAGCCAAGTCACCTTAGTAAACACATAATTGTCTATAAATTATCCAATTATACAAATATTGAGCTAAATTTTGGTGTGGTAGTAGCCAAGAGTTATACACAACACACACTGCGAGTGCTATACTTTATGCAACGTCTTTGCTTAAAAGTTTGCTATTAGCTGTTAAAATCAACACTGTGTGTCTGTTAGCAAAATATTTCCTGTACCACTGGACAGAAATGAATGAAATCCTCAGATAATAGTCACTGAATGCACATCTAGAACTCATTTGCATTTGGGGGTCAAACCCAATTCAAGATGGCTGCCACAGCTAATTAGTGTTAGCCACAAAATAGCCATAGGATCCCCCCCCCACCATCCTTTAGCTGCCTTGCACTGAGCGAGTGGTTTTTTTTTTGTGCATATGATTCTGTGTTTATGAGTAAACATAGGATCACAGCATCTTTTTTTAACTCACCTCTCCTATTGTTTTTTTTTTTTTTTTGCTTCCCAAGCTGCAAAAAGGTAGCACGACCCGTTGCACAAGACCTGTTCATTCGTTCCCCCATGTTTGTCATGTCTTTCTCTGAACGGACGTTCTAAACTGCAAATTTCATTCTGCATTGAATCTTTGATGTTGTGTGTGAATGACAATAAAGCTGATTCTGATTCTGATTCTGATATGCATCGCTTCACGGAATTCTTTTTTTTTTTTTTGAGTAAGGATTTTGCTGATCTTGTAAAGATAAACAAATGCCTTGAACAAGTAATAAATGACCTGCCTCGTTGTAGCAAAACTACATTCAATAAGAACTTTTTCTTTGTCACAGTACAGCAAAATTTTTAATTAAAACCATCACTTTGAAAACTAATTAGTTGGTTGAGGTGTTCGTCAAGCTCCTTTGTGTCTAATATACATATATTTAAAAATAATAATACATATATTAGAAAAAGAGCTGCAACAGCAGAGCGGCTGCAACAGACTGTAAAAACAGCAGAGCGCTGATTAAAGCTGCCATTCAGCATGAATAATATTCTATATCTACAATAGCCCATTACTCCTGGGAAACGAAGTTAAAGGAGACCCAGAAACTATTCGCTTTAAAACTAAGAAAAGGCCTTGAGCCAAAAGAAAGCGTCCCCACGCCATAATGAGTTTCCACTCTACTTTTGATTGAATGGTGTCAGTTCAGCTCTACTTGTTTTATAAAAGGAAACTAGATTGTGGCGCTGCTCCCCGGGGAGGGACGATGGAGCTGTGTCCCCTCCAGCAGATGATTCATAGGAACAACAATGAGTTAAAAAAAAGAAAAAAAAGTGATTCTTATTGCTCAAATACATAAATAAAGTCAAGCTGTTATTCGACCTGAAGCGACTTGTATTGAAATCCCCTGTCAGCTTAATTGTTCCAGACTTCTGCTGGAATATTTAAAATCCGGCGCCAGAATCCTAAGTTTTGTCAACAGTGTCTATCTGCATGTGTCAAAACTACACCCAACATCGCTTCTAATCTCAGGAAGGTTAAATGATTAAGCTGCTGGATGGTGTTTACACAAAGTCACATTGTAACAGATCGCTCTGACACAAGTGCAGACGATTGTTTTTGGAATATTACACTGTGAAAACTTGTTTAACTGGGCGTATTGCCGTGAAAAACAACACTGATGAGAAGCAGTTTTTTTTTACCCCCGAGCCACAGTAACGTCCGAGCCGTGGAGACTTTGTGTCGGCCCCGTCAAACAGCTCCATGTAGTCGTAGCCGCAGTCTGCCTCCTCCTCGATCTCAAACGTCTGGAAGATGAGCTCCACACCGTAGCCTTTTTCTGCTGAAATCACCCACTGACAGTCGGACGCTCCCGGATAGTTGTTGTCCCCAAACTGGGCGTGGGAGAACAGGTCCTTGGTTTTGACTTCGGCCTTTAGTCGACCTCCACACTCTGGACAGAAAACAGGATGTTATGTAGATGAATAGCACACAACTTTAGCAAGAAGAGGAGCTGAATCCTGACTTAAGCGCCTCACCAGCTGAATGCGAAGCCTCGAAGCCCTTTTTCTGCACAGAGTTGTCGGAGAAAAAGCGAACGAACAGCTTGTTGCTGCTGGATACGATCGGCGGGGGTTTCTTGGAGCCACAGAAGCGACCCAGCGAGGGCGCTTTTCCATCGCGTCCGTCGTAAATCTCTATGTGGTCGTAGGCACATTCAAGGTGGGACTCCATGTCGATCTCATTGAAGGCCTGTCACAAAACACCATAAAAGATGTGAGAACAAGACTACAAGACAGAAACCTGCACTGCTCGCTGGATATTATAGCCAACATTTGGAAAGAATCTACTTTCTGTTTGCAGCACAGTGAGAAAAAATGCAGGAAACAACAGAAGGGGGAGCCACACATCATCATTAGGAAAACCATCACAGATTCTCACACGGGCACAGTAAACACAGATGTCTCCGTCACACGCAGGAATCACACAGAAACAGACACGTGACGGACGGGTGAATTTATTCCCACAGCAGGGGGAGGCGCCAACGTACGATTTTGATGCGGTGGCCTGGAGTCGTGGTGAGAGCCCAGGTGCACGCTTTCTTACTGGGATACTTGTCCGGCCAGTTGGGACTGGTGATGACGCCGTTCACACTGTTCACCGTGTGATCACAGCCCGCTGGAAATCATGTCGAAAACAACGAAAACTTCAAATGGTTTTTGACACAAGTCAGGGACTTTTGCAAAAAGAAAAAAAAAAACGTCAATCACAGAGTTAAATCTGTGCTGGAATACCTTCTTTACAGTCGTGTTTATTCTCGTGCAGCACAAAACCACTCCTACACTGACAGCTGTAGCTCCCAAAGGTGTTGACACACTCGTGCTGGCAGCCACCGTTCTCCTTCGAGCACTCGTCTTTGTCTGAAGACGACACAAACAGAATACAGCACCTTTGGAGATTAACAGTGATTAAGTAAAAAATAAAAAATATATTGCGAGGAGATTGACCTGAGAAGAACTGTGCTTTGAAACCCTTTTTGGACACCGTGTTGTCCGATTTGAACTCGATGCGCATGTTGTTGTACTGAGACGTGATGGCCTCGGGTTTCTCTGCTCCACAGAACTTCCCGTGCAGCCGCGAGTCGGCCGAGAGCCCGCTGCGCACCTCGACGTAGTCGTACTTACAAACCTGAGTAGAGAAATAAAAATTTTTAAAACAATGTGTCACGGACTGAGTTTGTGTTTGGCTTTAATAATGAAACACGACAGCAGAGAGACGCAGCGCGGCGACAGAGAGCGACCGATCGCACATCAGTTCAGGAAAAAGAAACCGTTCTCACGTCGTTGCCCTCAGTCTCGAAGACGTCAAAGAGCAGAGTGATGCGGTACTGCGTGGGGGCCACCAGCTGCCAGATGCAGTTCTTGTTTGGGGGGTACTCTCTGGGCCACCCTGGACTGGTGATAGAGCCGTTCAGTTTGGTGATGAAGCCTCCACAGGCGGCTGGAAGGAAGACGAAAAACAGGAGGAAACAAGACAAGCGTTACACTGCCTTCTGTCAGGCAAAGTAAGATAAAAAAAAAAACGTCTTTCTGTAAAGATTTTCTCAAGCTTTCATTACATTTTGTGGCTTCAAAGAGTCCCTGACCTGACTGTTCTAGGTTGAAGTGATTGTGCAATGTTGATCCACAACAAACTGACTTATTACAGGAGCGCAGGGGAGAAATGAAGGAGTCACAAAAGCAACCAGTTTGCAACATGTTCATGTCCTGCGTAAAAGTTTTAACATTTTTCTTTTTCATTATTTTACTTAGAAGGAGCCAGACTTTCTTGTGAAAGTGGTGTTCATCAATAGTCCTTCAGGTTTTTCCTTGCATTTTGACCACTTCTTGTTCCGTGAAGTATTTGCACCCAATCATGACAGAATTTTGTGCATTGTGTGCTTATACCATCAGGAAACTTAACATTTGTTTAAATAAAACACACACACACAGAATTAGGCCTATACAAATATATATCAGTATTAGGAAGTTACAGTAAGTCTTACAGAAAAAACTGAAAAAGACCTGAATTATGCAGAAAACCTCTTAAAGAATAAAACACTAGCTTAAGTCTGTCTTATGCTGTGTTCACACCGAACGCGATTTCAGCTTCAAAAATCACAGCCAACGCTTCAAGTTGGACGCTTGTGCACTTTGAGGTCAGACGCAGGACAGCTCTTGAAGAGCTCGCACGGCAACAGCCTCCCTGCCCCTCCCTCCTCTGTCAGGCTCTGTTTAATGTCGGACGAGGAAGTGGCTTTGCTTTATTTACAGACAGCAAGAGCATGTCACGTTCATCAGATAATTAATTCATAATTAATTCACCAGATAATTCAGAGACATTCTGAGTTTCATCACCTAGGAGCTGCGGGAGAGGCTCACAGCTTGCTTTCAGGACTAATTTTGTCCTGAGTCCAGTCTGATGAGTCGCTGCCACGCATTGGTGCGGATATCTCCTGTCAGGACACCGACTGCAGGCACTCGATTTCAGCTAAAGAGCTCCTCTCCATCTGTTTCAGGTTAGTAGACATTCAGTAAACTGTCCCGTCGGGAAATCTGTCACTACGTCACACAGTGGAGTCTAGAGATCGACCGATACAGGTTTTTGAAGGCCGATACCGATACCGATTTTTTTAAAATCAGTCTAACCGATACGCCGATAC